ACAACTACAAAGCAGCAAAATATCAAAGGCATTGACCAGTAAAATTATGTATTCAAGTATTTGGAGACATGTATGAAAAGTGGACATGTACTGGGGGTCTCTTTGTGGTGTTCGCATTTTCACAGAATAATTGTGACTACTCTGTTCCAAAAAGAAAATGTAATTAAAATAATTGACATTTATTTTGAAATCCAACTTCCGGTCATCTCATGGTTGGATATTACCTTGATGGTGCTGATTGTGGCTGAGAAGTCAAATCCGCTTCCTGTCCATTTAACACTGTGGCTGCTGGGCGTCTCCCTAGGCAGGAAAACTGAGTCTGTTTGATCTGTTTAACTTTTTTATATTAATATTCAAAATGATTTGAACACCAGTAAAGATATTTTGACCAAAGCATGACAAATTCAAAATATATTCTTTACTGCGTTAGTGAAGAAACTAGGTAAGATATTTGACAAACATTTATGATAAGAAATAAGAAGCATACATTCCACATTGAATATACAGTATAGCCAACGACATTTAGCTATAACATCAATACAGATTCATTCATATACACTTTCTATTTGGATACATTAATAACTATTGGAGCAACATATACACAAGTCTTAATACAAATGACTACAAAAAAGAGAAACAAGATGATTGAATAAGCTAAGGGATGTGATCTTGTGTAAGTATTAATCTTTCTATGATGTTCGTGCTCCAATAGTGAAACATTGAACACTCAATACTTATTTAAAATGTAACTGAAGGCCTTCCTATCAGCTTAATGTCGGAATGTAATGTTCATTGGAGTGCCTGCAATAAACCTAATTGATAGATTTCCCCCAGCTGAGTGCAGTCATAGAGTATGAGGTCATGATGGGGGTATGTGTGTGTGTGTGTGTGTGTGTGTGTGTGTGTGTGTGTGTGTGTGTGTGTGTGTGTGTCTGGGGACAATAGTTTTAGAGTATAAAGGACAGATGGTTGGCTTCACTTCCCGCACCCCCAGCCTGCAGCACCGTAACAACATTATAACAACAATAACCTTGAAATCAACACACAAAAGCATCACACACGCTCCCCGGCAAAAGAGGAGCATGTGATGTACCACACACACACACACACACACACACACACACACACACACACACACACACACCAGGCAGATGGATTATGCCTGGTATTTGTAATCCACTAAAATGAATTGAATCTGACTCCTACGGACAGCATCATGTGCTTCTTCTTATGAGCACCCTACACTAGAGCCAAGCTTAACAAATCTACACTTATTGCTACAAGAAACAATGATTTGATTTTACTTTCATAGGCTATTAGACTAAAAGGTGCTGCTGTCAGACCTTATGATTTCTTTGCCCTATTGGGAGTGGGTGAATAGGTCCTAATCTCTGAACGTGTAAAAAAGTTTGCATTGACTGACAAAAAGTATTAAAGGGTCAGAAATATAACTCAAATAAATCATATTAACAATTGAAGAGTTAAAATAGAGTTACAAAAGGAAAATTAAAATGTATCCTTTTCCTTAAACCCTTAATTAGTTTAAAAAGCCAACAAGCTACTATTTGGAAGCAAATGCTAAAACCACTAGTGTGTTCGAATAAAAAAAAAAGTTGGTTCAAATGTGTATTTTAATCCACTTTGTACCTCATCAATTTACAGTGTTGTCATACACATAATACAACTCTGTTTCCTGACTAATATTCCTGTTTTGAGTTGGATAACCAACAATGTGACTTCCTAACTGTTAATTCCATGCTATCAATACAGTGTCAAATACTACATTTGCCGTTGAAAAGCATCTGTACAGTACAGCCTAATCCTGCTCTCAGAAACAATCAGCCATGCGCCGACCGTCCTCAGCTGCAGACCGATCAGGGACAATCTGTTGTGTGAGGCTTTTATGAGCAGAAGGACTCCTCTTTAAGCTTTCACCACCACCACCACCACCACCACCATCATCACTGCCTTCAGAGATCAAAGGATTAAGCGTATGATGCCCCCCCCCCCCCTCCCGGGTGTCGTGTAACCGCAGCAGGCTCGTGCTAATCTGCCTTGCTAAAAAGCATCGCTAAGCGTATGGTGGCTAATAATGCTCTGAAGATATCCGCTTATGTCTCTGCTGGAAAGCGATATGTGTTGCTAAAGACCAAGGAGATGACACTAAGTATTCATGCACTGTACATAGGCAGAAAATGAACGTCTTTTGAATGTCTTTTTCTGCCTTAAATGTGACTTTATTCTCCTTTCCCCATGTCTTGGGCATTATTATTGTTTGAAGCCCTAGAGTGCAAATACTATGAATTGTCTTTCCCCTAAAGATATTCTCCCACCATGCATAGAATATTAGCTTGGACATTTTCCATAAGGAATAAGTGATTTGAGGTTTCATGGATGAAACGCAGACATCCATTGAACATGGCAGGATATCACAAAGCCATCACTCAGCCTTATGGTGCACGTTGTTAGTGTCTAGTATAGGAAAAAGCATTAATATTCTGAAAAAGGATTTACGGTGACAATTCAGGTTAAACATAAAAAAGAATTAGTCTCTAATTTGTGTACCATCAATCGCCGTAAACGTACATAAAGAACAACCATTTGAACTAATGTTATTATTATACTTGCTTATATAAATATCATTATTTTTGCCTTAATGTATACAATCATAATGTGTTCTACTTGTCTTTGCATTTAAACTTTTTTTCTTTCTATTTTCCTATAATGGGACGAGACAGAAGTCTTCACTAAGCAGAGTAAAATTATGGTACCCCGTTAGTCACGTAGACATGTTTATGTGTGTGTCTGTTTGTGTGCGTGCAACATCTGATTCGTCCTTAAATCATTCAAATTTGATCATCTCTGTCTAAAATTGTAGTTTTATGACCGGATTACACCCGGACCTCAATTTATATTTAAAAGAAAAACGCAATATCATTTGTTAATAAAACATTTTTCTTCTACCACCATCCCTCACTGCTGGAACAACTCTGCATTGAACTTGGAGCTGATGCATCATTGTCTGAGAAACACAATGGGGTCTGAAGGGAAGGAGGGAGTGTGTGTGTGTGTGTGTGTGTGTGTGTGTGTGTGTGTGTGTGTGTGTGTGTGTGTGTGTGTGTGTGTGTGTGTAGGAGGTCAGCTTCCTAGTGTGTGAGTGTACAGCCGGTCAGGGGAGAGGAGTGTCAGAACAGCTCCTGTCCCTGCTTCCTCTGGAGGGGTGATGTCAGGGTGACGTATAACTGTACTGACAATGGGTTATACGGCATTGTTTCAAAGTATAAAATCACATATGGAAGTGTGGTCAACAATAAATATGTGGAGGGTAAAACATCCTCTTCCTGCTGTTAAAAAGGAAACAATGAGACATTTCTCACTGAGGGGATGCGTGCGCTCCCACTCCTCAACTTCCAGGTGTATTCAAAAAAATTTGAAGCTGATCTCTGTTATTTCCTGTTTCTGAAAAATATATGATCTCACGACCCCTCACTCACGTTGTTAATTGTCGATAGGGCTTTAATAGGATTGGTTGTGCTTTCAAGTTATCCTTGTAAGCCATTACTTCCAAGTGCATAAATCAGGATCATGGTCTTTCATTCAGATAAAACTACAGGTTGGAAATAACAAAACAAAACCTGTTCTTCTTTTCTTTAAACATAACATTGTATACCTCAAACATCAGAGAACCTCCATGCTTTCTGTCCCAGATCTATTCTCCCCTCAAGTGATGCACGTGCAGAGAGAGGATGATCAGCGGTGTGTAGCAGCAGCAGCAGCATCAGTCTGTGGTGCTTGAATGAGATGTGTGTTAGCTCTCGTGCTCTGTCACCCTCCTGGCCTCTCTCCATTCTGCAGGGACAGGAGGGCGTAGTCCTGACCAGCAGCTGGCCTCCCGCTGTCTGACCTCTGACCTCCTCCCCCATTTCTGCTCACCCACCAGCTCCGTTACACCCACTATATGTCCTTCTCTTCTCCTGTCTCAAGTCCAACTCCTCATTCTATGTGTGTGTGTTTTAGCTTAGGGGTTCTTAGATTAAACACAGACACAGCAGTGAGCCCCGTTACTCTATATGAATCACATTGACTTGCAGGGGTAACTACAGTAACGTGTAGGGCGGCCTAAACGTTTGAACTAAACCTTTTTTATGGTTCATACAATACAATTTATTAAAAAGAAAATATATAGACACTTGTTTCCTGCTACAGATGTGTGTCGTGCAGTGATTTAGCACAGGTTAGCTAGCACACGCTATTGAGTGCCACAGTGACGCGTCCTAAAACCCGGAAGTAAATTAGCATTTTACCACTTCCGGTTCCTTCGACAAAAACCAATGCAATTTCTCCGTAGGATTTTGGAAAATAGCTCGAAAAAAGGTCTGTGGTTGAGACCGGTTGACACACATTTAAGAGACAGAACACGTTTTGGTTTTTGTCGAAGGAACTGGAAGGAGTTTACCTCCGGGTTTTAGGACGCGTCACTGTGGCACTCTATTGCATGATTAGAGGCTGACAGTTACACTTTCTCCCGTGTTCAGTAAGTAAGTAAATGTGTTCTTCTGGAGTCAGACTTAATAGTTGCTAATATGCTAGATACTCGATAATATAATGCATCTTTTTAGACATAATTAAATAAGAAAGTCTGAAATATATATATATATCTTAATGGTTTGGTGCAGTCAGTGTTTTTTGCGTAGCACTGAAAAACAGATGGTTGTAGCTGCCTGAGGTTTCATTAATACTGGATTCAGAACTGATGGTGCAAATGTATCAAGTGTTTTTGTTATTTACTCATTAAAGTTTGTGTTTTTTTATCGATGTGATGATAAAATGTTAGATACTGGGACACGCTCCAAGCAAAAAACAAGGTTAAATAGAAAAGTGAAAAGGTTTTATTTGGCAACAAAATCTCAAAATATTCAAAACTTTCCTCCAGCGTATAAAAGTGGAACAAACATATAAAATTATCTTAAAGTAGGAGTAAAATGTACATTTCAAACTTAAAACATTAAAACACAAACATGTCAACAAAACATCCTCTGTGTATCTACAGTGGATCTGTGTAATCAAGAACACTGAATCACAGTCACCGTGCACTGCCTGACCCCTGCAGCGTAAATGCAAAGAGGTGCAGAAATAAATAGCCAGTCTGAAAGCTGACTCCAGATCAGCAAGAGGTCAGGCGATGTGAAGGGCAGCACCAGCAGATTTTAGGTGGAGGATCCATATCACTCACACACACACACACACACACACACACACACACACACACACACACACACACACACACACACACACACACACACACACACACACACACACACACACACACACACACACACACACACACACACACACACACACGAAAAATACATAATTAACTCAAGTAAAATTCGTTACGTTATCCGTTATACCGTGCTGTAGGCATTCAATGTCAGACGGCACTTGTGATCATGACAGCGAGGTTATACTGAAAACCACATAAAAAACATTATTTTCAAATAAAACAGAAAGTATTTAGACTTTGTTGAGAAGATTTGGAACTGAAAACTCAACACAGCAGACTCCCTGAAACTCCTCCTAACATTTTAAACTTTATTGCAACGTCCCTTTCACCTGCTCAATGTGCCCCTCCTTACTCCTCAGGAGAGGCAGGAATCAAGATGCTGGTTGATGGCTGACTCCGGCATCTGCGTTTGGCACACGGGACAGCTGACCGTCAGCACGGAGGAGGAAGAGGAGGAAGAGGAGGAGGGGGGGGTCAAAGTGAGCATCCCAGGGAGCGAGGAAGTAGAGGAGGATGCAGAGGAGGTGGCAGTGGCAGTTCTCTGCTGCATTGCGGGTGCTTGTGTCTTCCCCAGCTCCCTAGGCGCCGCTGAATCGCTGCCTAATGCCTTCTGGAAAAAGTCATAGATGCTGGGGGAGTTCCCGCGCTCGTCCCACGGCCTCTTCCTCGATGCCGGAGCAGAACCGGAAGCTCCTGATTTACCGTCACTGTTAGTTTGACTGAAATACTTGGACTGCGATGGTTTACCAGGGCTGCCTTTGGTTCCTGTTGACACCACAGAACGGCTGGGTTCACTCGGACTAGCCGTAGATGTGAGGTTGTTATGTAGCTGTTTAGGAATGACGCCAGACGCAGAGAAAGCAGCATTGGGAGGATCTCTTTTCGTTTCTGGGTTAGAGGGTTGACCCGCTGACCTCCTGAGGCTCGTGCTGGTAAAGAGGCCTTCTATGGACCTCTGCGTGCTTTTATCTGCGTCTTGGCTACGGTTGCTGCCGCTGTGGGGTCTGGAGATTCTCACTGGAGAGCCGTTGATGTTGACAAAAGCTCTGGTGTTGCCGACAGACTTCTTCTTAAGTGGCTTCTGCACCATGGAGGAAGCTGGTCCGATGGAGGGGACAAGACTTTTAGCCGGAGAGGATGGCGGGAAGAGCTTCTTTGGAGAGGGAGGCACCGCTGGGGAGGGTTGGGGATTCCCTCCGAGCTGGAAGCCTTTGCCACTGAATGGGATGAGGTTCCTTATGTCCTGTGATACGGAAACTGAGGGGAAATAAGTTTATATTTGAGACTTTCTGTGATGTCAGACCAAATCCGTTATAAGATTACGCTTTTAAATGATTATCTAAAGACCTGTTGCTAACCTTGAGCCTCGAGAAATCGTGTTGTCTGCCTGAAAATTACACTTTTGAAGATGACTTGTTTGTTTTCTTTAGGCGACATCTTTGGTGATAAACTGTCATTTGAATGTTTCTGAATCTCACTTTTACTTGTTTTGGACTTTCATCCTTTTGAGTCATCTGAGTCACCTGGGTCATTGTACGACCAAAGTAAACAAATGCTCGCTAGGCTAGCATAAGCTACAAAGAACATACACTGATATACACTCTGTTTTAAGGAGCAAGTTGATCGTATTTTAGGCCTAAAAATCATTGTGTACCTCATTTAGGGATATATAGTAACCGTGATTTACTTAAAATGTATGACCAGGGTATATGCAGGAATCCTGAAGTCAAATGTAAAACCTTTTAAGACCTTTTTTAAGACCCTTTCCATACATTTTAAGACCTCATCTCCACTTGGAGTTCTAACCGGTTACCTTGGCGACACACTTTACCTCACATTGACTATATACAGTATTGATTGTCCTTCCTCCTTATCTTCCAACCATTTGGACGCAGACTTGCATTTCCCCATAACGATGTTGCTTAGCAACCGGCGTAAACGGACCTTTGCACGCTATCAAGCAGTGAGCGTGCGATGTCCTGTTCAGATGACGTCAAATCCAACGGGATGCCATAAATAAACTCCACAGAATCACACTACACACCTACGCAATGATTACATTCAGGCAGACTGTAGAATACAACCTCTTTGGACAATTTATATACTTATTGGAAACAAGCTACAAAATGTAACACCTTGGAAAATGCCGTTTAATACTTTTTAATAGCCTCGATTTTAGCTAAATTGATTTATCAACTTGTAATACTTTTTAAGACCCCGCGGACCCCCTGATGAAGGACTAGTTAACACAGCAATGCCTTCCTCACCTGTAGTTGTGCTCGGAGGCTTTTCATTTCCAGAGGCCTTCTTCTCTGAGGCCTTCTCGTCTGTTTTGCCCTCCTTCTTGTCGTCCTTCTTGCCTTTTTTGCCGTATCCTTCTGGCTCTTTGACCTTGGTGTAGGTCCCTCCACACGTCCTCCTGTGGTCTTCCCACCACGGATCCTGAGGAGAAGGAGCCCGGTTCATGGCCCTCTTTACGAAACCAAAGTAGGGCTTGCGGTTCTGACAGGGCCCGTTGCATTTCCACCAGTGCTGCCGGTACACGTCCACCTCATCGTGGAAACTGTGGTAGACCTGAGAATAGGACATGGGTTTATTTATTATTCATTAATCTAAGCCAAAACAGACTTAATACATAAAATGTGTAATAGAAGATCCACTTACAGAAATCTGTGTCCCGGTGGCATCGTTGATCCGGTTCATGTGTTTGCAGAACTCAGGGCCGTGACCGTCTCTGTCTCGGTTGTTCTGGGTCACAAACAGCAGCGCGTGGATCATTTCATGAAGGAGAGTCTGTGGAAACAAAAAGAAGACCAGTATTAACCAGTGTGAATAAATACTAAATTGTGTCTACTCTTTTCAGTGTTGTGTTCTTGTTGTTGTTATACAATATGTCATAAGCCAAACACTTCTGAAAAAGCAAGATCAGTGTAACTATCCATCTCACCTGCACCAGGTCTTTTCTCGGTCTGAGCTTCAGCAGAGGCGCACTCAGTCGGATTGAACACAGACCCCCTCGGCCCTCATAAGAACACACACCAGCACACCTGAACAAAAGCATAAACACAGAAGGAAACATTAGAGACAGACGGCCCTTGCATGAACCCTATTAGCACCATCAGCACTGGTGGTTCAAACCAGAGGCGGAAGATGTATTCAGGTCCTTTATTTTGGTAAAAGTAACAATACCACACTGGGAAAATAATCCACTATGAGTAAAAGTCCTGCATTTGAAACCCAAATTAAGAAAAGTATGTAAGTATTGTACATCAAAAGCAGTAGAATGGTCCCTTTAAGAGTTTTGCTATGATTTATGATGTTTTTAGATCAATATTATTGCTGAATTTATGTTAATTATGTGACATTTTAATTCTGTGTAGACAGAAAGGGTATACAAAAGTGAACTGAAAACGAACTAAAACTGCTGTGTGTGGAATAAAAAGTACTATATTTGCCTCAGAGGTGTAGTGGAGTATGAGTATATGGTAATATATAAGTACCTTAAATGTGACCTTAAATACATGCATCTAGGGTCATTAGACCACTGCTTTAAACAGTGACATAACCTTATCATCTCTCCAATGGTCACACCAACACCCAACAAATGATCTAGGAATATTATTTTTTTAGGGATGCACCGAATATTCGGCCGCCGAAAATTATCGGCCGAAAATGGTTAAAAAGGCCCTTTCGGCACCGAAAAAATATCACCGAATGTCCGAGAACAGGGTTACGTTGGTAAGCTAACGTGTTGTTGTGATGACGTAATCAAAACGCGGCGACAAGCACGGCGCGCGACCATGCTCGCGGCTGGCTCACAGCCAACATGTCTGCCGCTTGGAGATTTTTAAAAATATCAGAGAAAGAGGAGCGGATTGCGATTTGTAAAACGTGTTCAGCTGACATTTCTCGAGGGGGTGTAACTGCAAAGACTTTCACCACTTCGGGATTACTCCACCACTTGAAATCAAAACACCCGGACAAATATGCGGAGTAAGATCAAATCACAAGCACTGACAGCGAGAGACTGTTCAGCGCTGCCTCTCATGTGCTTGATGAGAAGAGGAACAGACTTATGGCTGATAAAGCAGAGAAGCTACTGTTCATTAAAAAGAACCTCCCACTTTTCCTTAATAAGTAGACAAGGCTGGCTTATCATAAGCTTATCTAGTTCTACATGTCTACTCTATACCCACTTTCCTGAACAATTTTCATTGTGAGTTATAATTCACCATCTCAGGTTATCATTAGGGGGAAATGACAGCAGTACAGTGTTCAATATATTGTACTTTCGGTATCTAAATGATACAATGTTGTTTACATTGCTCATGAGGACAGACCACCTTATTTGCAGATTCTTGAAATTGTAATTTAATTTGTAATTGATTGTGGATTTTGTATCCAGTTTTCACTTTATGTATCTTTATACAATGTTTACTACTTTGCTTATGAGGACAGACAGCCTTATTTACAGATTCTTGAAATTCAATTGTAATTTCATTTGTAAATAGTTACATTCATGTGGATTTATCCAGTTTGCACATTTGTATGCATGCACTTATAGGTGCATTTGTTGTTGTTGAAGGCCTGGCTGTTACAGTCTTTATTTACACTATTTTGTTGTAGGCCTACTGGCCTAGATGTTTATGCAGTTTTAAAACACCTTGGCTTTGTTCTGAATGCACTTTGTTGTAGTTATCCTACAGAGAAAAGAAAATGCACTTGACTTGGAATTAATGTACTGTATGCATTCAAAAGTGCTGAATACATGTTTTATGGACCCATAATAGTGATTATTATTTAAGTTAAGTTTTGCCATAATCATGTCTTTTTCCATAATCAGGTAGCTGAACAACATTGGTAAAAAATGTATACATTATATATATTTCTATTAATCATTTTCGGCTTTTCGGCCTTTCGGCATTCGGTTTTCGGCCAACTGTTTCCTATTTTCGGTATCGGTTTCGGCCAAGAATTTCCCATTCGGTGCACCCCTATACATTTTTTCATTGATGGCATTTCTGCACACGTCAGCATGGTTTTGGTTTCTGGCAACAATGACAACACAATCAATCATAACACAGTATAATGTGACTCACAGTGTCATCCTTGGGCTCCACTTCACCTCCACACCGCTAAGTTTCCCCCAGAAGAAAGTGTCATTGAACTCCAGAAACATGGCTCTGACATCGGGGCTGGGGTCCAGCGTCTCCCAGGAGGAGTCCACGATGGACAGCGGCCTGTCGGGCTGCACTTTCGGCTTCCAGTAGGGAACAACATCGCCTCCAGAATCAGATACCTCCACTTTCCGCTTCTTAATGCTCTGTCCGAAGCCTTCATCATCAGAGGCACTGGATGAATATGGTGGTATCTTGTATTCATTGTCAAACTGCTCCTGGAGCCGAAGAGCTAGCATAAAATCTTCATCCATTACTAAAACAATACATAAAAGATTATGCAAACTGATGTAGCTAGCCACTTAGCTTTGGTTGTTCGGGCTAACTAGTTAACGTAGTTTGTAAAAGGCTCTCAAACAGCAAGTGACAAAATCACCGGAGCCAGAAAACAGTCTGACAGATATAACACCGTTAAAAAAAAATTATATTTGTGTCATAATTTCATTAAAAACACGCAAATCTTCATGTTGGACGAAGGTTTTCCTGCTAACTCTCAGTCCTAAGCTAGCGCCAGCGGTTTTTTGCATGGAGTCTTCTTCTTCTTCTTCTCTTGCTTTTGGCAGATTGCAAACAACTTAAAAGGTGCATACCGCCACCTACTGTACATGAGTATGAATCATCACATCATTCCAATTCTTTAACCTATGTTCTAATCAAAATAAATAAATAAATAAATCAATAAAACCATTAAATAAATAAAACAAAAAACAAATCTATGTTCTTTCCTGACCTAATGTTAAATTCTTTTTCCTACACCAGTTTCACTCAAGAATTTAAACAGTGCCTTTCTGGTAGCTTTTACTCCCTCTCCTTTTGTTCCCAAAACACCAACCACACTCCACTCCCTCTCTGCCTCTAAGACTTTAGCCTTTAATTGTTCTCTTTCCGCTTTATAGATGTCGCAATTTAACAATATATGTTCTACATCTTCTTTTACTGCACAGTTCCCACACTTGTTACTGTCACTTTTCCCCATGATATACAGCGTACTATTCAAAGCCGTGTGATTTATTCTGAGTCTGGCCTTCATGATTTCCTCCCTTCTGTTTCTTTCTTTATGAATATTAATTGTAATTGTATTTTGTACTTTGTGATAGTCCTTGCCTTTCTGGTCTTTCTCCCACCTTTTCTGCCAGATCTCCATCCCTTTCTTCTTAATAACTGCTTTTCCTTCTCCTTTACCAAGTTGAACTGGTAATGTTATTTGCTTTTGTAGTGCACTTTTTGCTAATCTATCAGCACACTCGTTCCCTTTCACCCCCTCATGTGCAGGCACCCAGCAGAACTGCAGATCCATGCCGCTTCTGTGCAGTCTTAACAGGCTATGATTCAGTACTATGAGAATGTCTTCTCTTGTAGTTGTTGTTGATTTTTGCATGAAGTCTATCACAATGCAACCAAATAACATCCGTTAAGAATTTCAAAATAAAACTTCCAAAACAACTATAATGTAACTATTTGTTGTAAAATGTAAAACTCAAATAAATACAATAAAGAAAATGCGTGTATGTTTAATGAATATCAAAATGATAAAATTACAATTATTAGGAGCCTTACACATGAGCGTTTCTTTAGTTATTCCTCGACCTGTGTTTAAATCATGATTGTTTGCTCTTATTGTGACACTCATTTCCGGATCTAGATTTGTTGCTAACTTGACAACACCTTGGATTGTTTCGAACGGTTTCAAATACAGCAAGGAATTGTGGGAATTGTTGTCTTCTTTAATTCTTGTAGGCGGCTTGTGGTTGGCCAACCTAAAATGCACCCGGTGTTATTTTTGTTGTAGTTTACTGTTAAAAAAAATATATATTTTGCCTCAAACAAAGTGTTATCTATGATTAACATTGAAACTGTATGTAATTTAGAACAATTTATAAATTAAAAAACGATCACATTTGTAATAAATATATTTGTATTGATGACATTTGTTGGCCATTTCATTTTCTGAATCCCGTGACGTTTAGGGTGGCAACTTCCTGTTTGGGTTGCAAGCGGACATGAATCGATGAACTCTTCTTCTGTCTACATGTATCACTATTTTGTCTAAACAAGGGAACACACACACCACAGAAATGTCGGAAACGGGGAACAGACTTCGCAAACTGCTCGAATCGCAGAATTTCGACCCGCAAAATTACGTGAAGCAGCTGTCCCAGCAGTCCGATGGAGACAGAGACCTGCAGGAACACCGTCAAAAGATCCAAAACCTGGCCGACGAAACGGCTCAAAACCTGAAGAAAAATGTCTACAAGAACTACAGACAGTTCATTGAAACTGCTAAAGAGATATCCTACTTGGAGAGCGAGATGTACCAGCTGAGCCACATCCTGACCGAGCAGAAGAGCATCATGGAGAGCATCACTCAGGCCTTGATATCCACAGATAAGGATGAGACCTCTAAAGAGATGCAGGCTGCTTTCCCCAAAGAGACAGAGGAGCTGAAGCAGAGGACACTCACCTCCCTGCTGGAGAAAGTTGAAGGGGGTAAAAACATCATGGACACCCCAGGGAGGCACCTTGTCTACAATGGTGACCTTGTTGAGTTTGATGTTGACAACATGTCCCCCATCCAGAAGGTGCACGCTTTCCTCATGAACGACTGTCTGCTAATCGCCACCTGGCTGCCCAACCGCAGGGGAACCGTGAAGTATAAATACAACGCCCTGTACGACCTGGAGAGCTTCGCTGTGGTCAACGTGAAGGACAACCCTCCCATGAAGGACATGTTCAAGATCCTCATGTTCCCCGACAGTCGCATCTTCCAGGCGGAGAACAGCAAGATCAAGAAGGAGTGGCTGGAGATCCTGGACGAAACCAAGAAGAACAAGGTCACCAAGGACAGGCACAAGAAGGAGGAGGAGGTCCCTGTGTCTCCTGTGAGGGCCGAGGTGTCCACCAATCCTTTCGACCAGGAGGAAGAACAGCAGCCAGCAGGGGAGGCAGAGGAAAGCGTGGACCTCAGCCTCGAGTGGATCCAGGAGCTGCCCGAGGATCTGGACGTCTGCATCGCCCAGAGAGACTTCGAGGGCGCCGTGGACCTGGTGGACAAACTCAACGAGTATCTGAAGGAGCAGCCGGTCAACCAGAGGGTCAAAGAGCTGCGGCTGAAGGTGGAGGAGCGGCTGCGCCAGCTGACCGAGGTCCTGGTGTTCGAGCTGTCTCCAGATCGGTCCCTTCGGGGGGGGCCTAAAGCCACCAGGAGGGCCGTGTGCCAGCTGATCAGACTAGGTCCGGCTTTGTTTGTGGTTATCTTTCATTAATAGCCCCTTACACATCAACTCAAAAGTAAACATTGCTTTTCTGCAGGGAAACTACAGCGTCTCCAGGTTAAAGGGCACCTTGGCAGGAGTGGATAAGGGATTGTTACTGATTTACTTCCCACTCCTACACTGTTTGTAATAATGTCGCATGTGGTAGTTAAATCTGCTAGCTCAAATTCTCCCAGCAGAACACCTTTTAAAGACTTATTTGATTCCCCGCCACCCAAACTCTTACATTTGCTAATTTTTCTTTTTTTTAAATGACCAAATTCCAAATAGTATTTATTAAATGTTATTTTATCCTCTCAAATTATGTTCTAAAGTTGTTTCAAATTATGTTCGACACTGCTAAGTACTCAATGCATTGTGATGGAGTAACAAAATCAATATTTGTTTGCTACAAGCAGTAAAATGTCAGATATTTATTCAAAATCATGCACGAATCAGCCTTACACCCAATATGAATGGTTATTGAAACATGTTAAAATGCCTAATGTCTCACTTAATTAGAAAATATTTGCATTCAATTGTAATAGTTTTTGTCTGTGTATGCAAGCCAGCCCAACACGATATTCAGCCAAATAGCAATATAAAACCCCTGTGATATTGGTTGTAAATTTGAATCGTGTTCACTGTGTTTTCCAGGCCAGTCCACTAAGGCCTGCGAGTTGTTCCTGAAGAACCGAGCTGCGGCGGTGCAGACGGCCATCCGGCAGCTGCGTATAGAAGGAGCCACGCTGCTCTACATCCACAAACTCTGCAACATCTTCTTCACCAGCCTGCTGGAGACGGCCAAGGAGTTCGAGATGGACTTTGCCGGGAACACGGGCTGCTACTCCGCCTTCGTGGTCTGGTCCAAAACCACCATGAGGATGTTTGTGGACGCCTTCAGCAAGCAGGTATGTAGAGGATAATACGATATTGCTTTGATGGTCGGATCAAGTCTGAAATGTGACTTGCATCACAGCAGCTCCATGTGTAAGATCAACTGACAGATATCAAGACACGATACATGAAAAACAAACAGAACGGCACGATCACTGAGAGATGCTCAAACAGCCTTCAGCGTGCATCTGATCTGGATTCAGCTCTGTGTTCACTGAGAGGACTGACTGGAGCTCAAAGGATGCTTCAGTCTGACTTTATTCAATCTCCATTAGATGGTAGCAGTTCATATTCTCTGTTCAGAGCATGCTTTGGGTCCCAGGTGATGTTGTTGGACAGCCTCACAGGTTATTATGGTATGCTGAGTCAGAAAGTCTCATAAGTAATACATGATATGGTTACCACAGGGGGAGATTTGTCATTTGAACCCAGTGAAGGTGTATTTATTCCTGTGAAATATCAAAGTAACATCCAAGTGTTCCTCAGGTGTTCGACAGTAAGGAGAGCCTGTCCACAGCAGCAGAGTGTGTTAAAAAGGCGAAGGAGCACTGCCAGCAGCTGACGGAGATCGGCCTGGACCTGACCTTCACGCTGCAGTCGCTGCTGGTCAAAGACATCAAGGCGGCGCTGCAGAGCTACAACGACATCATCATCGAGGCCACCAAGCACCGAAACTCTGAGGAGATGTGGAGGAAGATGAACCTCATGACCCCCGAGGCTCTGACTAAACTCAAGGTGGGTTTGGATTAAACTCGTTTTTCTTGTAGTGCTAATTAGCTGTCCTGTTCTGAGCTGCTATTGAGTTGTTTAGCAGTCATGCTGTCAGCTCACAACTGAACGGAAGCAATGACATTTGTATATACCCCTCTGTATAACCAAACATAAACATTTACCTATCTACACAAATATACCCATACATACAATATATGTTAACCAATACAACCATACACTTAAATGTAACCATGCAAACATTACAAAATGCCATTAAAGAAAAGAAACACAAAAAAGGGTATATATATTAGGGATGCCAGTGATTATTCGATTATTCGAATATTCGTTACAGTCTTCATAATCGAATATTATTTTTAAATCGTTTTATTTATATATTTTTTTATTATTATTTAGGTTTTTTTTTTTTTCTGGCTTAGTTTCAACCAAAATATAGACTAATGCTAATAATAGTAATAGTATTAATAATTGTAAATGGCCATTGGTCACACCACCAGTTTGTTTTACTGTAAACTTGGAGGAAGCCTGCGTGCAGAGCAGACTGCTGCTGCAGCACGCTACAAACCGACCCCGCCCCCACCCCCCCTCTCCCTCACACGTGAGACTAAAGATGAACAAAGCGGCAGGTAAAAAGAGTTCCTCCTCGTGGAACTACTTCAAACTTACAAGTCCAAAGGAAGTTAAATAATAATAATCGATTATTATTCGCCAGGGCTGCCGAATAATCTATTTTGATCATGGTCAGTTTCTGGCAACCCTAAACATAACTAACA